ATGCGATTTTCTTAGTGGTTTTTTTTATTTATATAACTGCCCTACGACAACAAAAGCACGTGCAACTACCCTGCAGTACCATTCAGCGCTTATTCAGCACTCAATCACTGCAAAAAGCTCATCACTGAGCGCTCAATGAGCGCACAATTTGTATGGAACTAAGTGCTTAAATTAACATAGGCATTTCCTAGGGTTCATCAGTGCTCAAAAAATAGCACGCATTGAGCGCTTTTTTGAGCACCCTTTTGAGCGATTTTTTGAGCAGCAGAAAAAGCACACGTTCAGCACATGTTGAGCGCTCGATTGAGCAGCGGAAAAAGCACACATTCAGCACATGTTGAGCGCTCGATTGAGCAGCGGTAAAAGCACACATTCAGCACACGTTGAGCGCTCATTCAAGCAGCGAAAAAGCGCACTTTCAGCACACGTTGAGCGCTTAGCAGCAAAAAAATTTCAGTTGTAATTTTTATTTTTATTTGTTTATTTTAAAATTTGAGCTCGGGGGTTTCCGGTGTTATCGGGGTCGCTGGCACCTCCTTCTCAGCATCTGGTGCCGGCGTTGCCTTTTTTTTGGTACAACTCAAGTTTTTAACGCACCGCATTGCCTTCTGCAGCGCCTTTTCGGGAGGCTCCGAGGGATCCACCAGGGCGATTGCATCTAGTATTAGAAAAAAATTACTTTTAAAAATAAAACAAGACGAGAATAAAAACGAGTGACCGAAAGTAATCGTTATTTGTAAGATTTATTTATAATAAAAGAAATGTTATGTTTGGCATTCAATGTAAAAATCCCTCATAAGTTATAAAAACAAACATCTCTTATTTTTGGTCCCTAGGAACTTAGCACTCAATAAGATTTTCAAATTTTTTCACAGATTCATTCATTTGTTTATTTATATGCATCGTTTGTTGTTTTTCACGTCAAAAATTAATATTTTTCACAGCTATTTTTTTTCCGCCACGTGTTTTTTTGTTAGTCTTCTATTTTCCATTTTTTCAATATACTTTAACTTGTTTTTACTCCCACTGATTAAATAAATATTGGTCTGCGACAGACTTACCTGGGAATCGTATAGGTATCACTTTTAAACCACTGGTTTTTTTTATTTAACTACCTTAATTGCGTGCAATTCTAACTCCTTCACATAAGTAAACCCAAAAGAAAAAGACGAAAAAAGTCGCGTGCCTTCCAGAAAAACAACAAGCAACAACAACAACGGTTCCGCTAATCCGTTGTTGTTCTGTTTTTTTGGCATGTCCCGTTTGGTCTATGCATCTTGCACATAAAAGCAGCGTATTTATAGACATATCCGACTATGCAAATCGGTTTATAAAAATATATTCTTAAAACTTCACATAATATTAAATAATATTAATAAGCCTATACATTTTTTTAAGAAATACAAATATTTTAAAACAGAAACCTATTATTTTAAATGGTTGTTTTATCATTTACGAACAAATGTCGCATTATTCAAAAGGCAAGGGTGCACAAAAGTCTATATATTTTAGTTGCTGGGCCTCCTTCCCATCACACGCACTTTTCCGTCTGAGACATGGCGAGAGAGGGAGAGCCCAAAATTACTTTTTGTGCGTTCTCTTTGCGGACCCGACTGAGAGCGCGTCGCTTTGCCGCCGTTGCGCTCAGCTCTGCCGGCGTCGCTGGCTTCTCTGCCGACGTCGCAGTCGGCTTCGTGATGATTGGGCGCTTAACTCAATTGTGGAACTGCAGGGTATGTACATACATACATACGTATGCGTAAGCGTGTGTATGTGTAGAGGCTGAATCAGCGTGAAAACAAAATTAATAAACATGTACATCTAACAATGCATTGTTAGATGTACATGTTTATTGAGTTAAGCGCCCAATCATCACGAAGCCGACTGCGACGTCGGCAGAGAAGCCAGCGACGCCGGCAGAGCTGAGCGCAACGGCGGCAAAGCGACGCGCTCTCAGTCGGGAGAACAGAACGCACAAAAAGTAATTTTGGGCTCTCCCTCTCTCGCCATGCAACTAAAATATATAGACTTTTGTGCACCCTTGCCTTTTGAATAATGCGACATTTGTTCGTAAATGATAAAACAACCATTTAAAATAATAGGTTTCTGTTTTAAAATATTTGTATTTCTTACAAAAATTTATAGGTTTATTAATATTATTTAATAATATGTGAAGTTTTAAGAATATATTTTTATAAACCGATTTGCATAGTCGGATATGTCTATAAATACCCTGCTTTTATGTGCAAGATGCATAGACCAAACGGGACATGCCAAAAAAACAGAACAACAACGGATTAGCGGAACCGTTGTTGTTGTTGCTTGTTGTTTTTCTGGAAGGCACGCGACTTTTTTCGTCTTTTTCACTTGGGTTTACTTATGTGAAGGAGTTAGAATTGCACGCAATTAAGGTAGTTAAATAAAATAAACCAGTGGTTTAAAAGTGATACCTATACGATTCCCAGGTAAGTCTGTCGCAGACCAATATTAATTTAATCAGTGAGAGTAAAATCAAGTTAATGTATATTAAAAAAATGGAAAATACAAGATTCCCAAAAAAACACGTGGCGGAAAAAAAAAATAGCTGTGAAAAATATTAATTTTTGACGTGAAAAACAACAAATGATGCATATAAATAAACAAATGAATGAATCTGTGAAAAAATTTGAAAATCTTATTGAGTGCTAAGTTCCTAAAAATAAGAGATGTTTGTTTTTATAACTTATGATTTTTTGTATTAATATCATTAAAGCACAATTTTTATTTTTGTGTAAGTAAACAAACATGGCTATTTAAATAAAAATCTCAAACATCTCTAATTTTCCGTCCCTGGAAAAGTGGTATTTTTTCCGCATCTGCAAAATAAATAAATGATTTAATAAATAATAAAAAAAATACATAAATAATTTTTTACAACAAAATAAAATAAATCAAGTGACCGAAAACAAAAGTTTGCAAATTTCTTCTCGATATTTTTTTAATTTTCTTATATTTTTAGACAAGGCTGATGGTAAATCTATAAAAAAAATGGAAGGCTAAGTCGTTCCATCTTAAGCATATTATCCGAGGAACTTGTTCTGTCCCACAACTTGGAGGGGGGGCAAAACAAGAGGAGGCTCAGACTACCCAAATTTCGCCCGTGCCTTATTAAGTAAGTTTTTGTTGAGGGTGAAAACTATTGTTTGTAAGTTTAATTTTTAAAAGACTTCTGGGATTTTTACATTGAATGCCAAAGATAACATTTCTTTTATTATAAATAAATCTTACAAATAACGATTACTTTCGGTCACTCGTTTTTATTCTCGTCTTGTTTTATTTTTAAAACTAATTTTTTTCTAATACTAGATGCAATCGCCCTGGTGGATCCCTCGGAGCCTCCAGAAAAGGCGCTGCAGAAGGCAATGCGGTGCGTTAAAAACTTGAGTTGTACCAAAAAAAAGGCAACGCCGGCACCAGATGCTGAGGAGGAGGTGCCAGCGATAACACCGGAAACCCCCGAGCTCAAATTTTAAAATAAACAAATAAAAATTAAAATTACAACTGAAATTTTTTTGCTGCTAAGCGCTCAACGTGTGCTGAAAGTGCGCTTTTTCGCTGCTTGAATGAGCGCTCAACGTGTGCTGAATGTGTGCTTTTACCGCTGCTCAATCGAGCGCTCAACATGTGCTGAATGTGTGCTTTTTCCGCTGCTCAATCGAGCGCTCAACATGTGCTGAACGTGTGCTTTTTCTGCTGCTCAAAAAAGCGCTCAGAAGGGTGCTCAAAAAAGCGCTCAATGCGTGCTATTTTTTGAGCACTGATGAACCCTAGGACATGCCTATGTTAATTTAAGCACTTAGTTCCATACAAATTGTGCGCTCATTGAGCGCTCAGTGATGAGCTTTTTGCAGTGATTGTGTGCTGAATAAGCGCTGAATGGTACTGCAGGGTGAACATAATTGCATTTAAACAAAAACATATTTTAAAATGCGCTTAAATTTATGTTTAGATGTATGTACATGCCTGTTAATTATTTTTTCTACGCCGCCCTGCAAATTCGCTTCTCATCTACATATGTATGTATAGACAGATGCACGCATTGCTTTTCATAAAATGTTGCTTATTCTTGAAAGTCTTTCACAAATTTTCTGTTATTACACAATTAATTAAGGTTTCAAATTTTAGCGAGCACTTTTAAGCTTATGTGGTGGATGCCGAACTGGAATCTTATACGATTGTATAAAACCTATAATTAGTAGTTAATCACAATTAAGAAATTTTAGTAAATTAGTATACATAAGTAAAAAAAATGACCCAATGTAAGTATCTAAAATAATGTGTCAATAAGAAATACTGTAAAAATTTTGTACAAACTGTAAACAGGTAAGAAATACCTAAAATAAAATAAATAATAAAAAAATTTGGTACATTATTTTTTAATTTAAATTTGTCTTTGACATTATAATATCAAATTAACAATAATATCAATTTGGTACTTTTAATATCCAATCTACAACAATGTACATTTGAAATTATAATATCAAATCTACAACAATATCAAATTTACAACAAAAATATTTCAAAAAATTGATACCGCTTAATGTAAAAATGAAATTACCGAAATATCGTTTTTACCATTTCGAACATATCGAATTGATAAGTGCCGTATCAAGGCCGAATTGATATTGGATTGACCATCACATCATATCAATTTTTTTTTGTGTGCATTTAAATATTGAACAATGATGCTTGTAGTCTAACACACTATTATGCAAAGGAGGTAGAAAATAGTAGTTTTTTAAAACAAAAACGTTCTTCGTAGAAAATGAAATAAAACAATTAAGACACGGAACTTTATTCAGTCCGTCAATTCAATGAAAAGTATTCTGTGAGAAAATCCTGATATATGTATGTTCCGTCCGGGGAATTTTTCTAACAATACTATTAAAACAAATTATTATTTTGTGTTGACTGACTGATTCAAAATGGCCAAAATTTTATTTAAAACATGTTCCGCTTACCTTAAACATATAAGCGAATCGGACTTTTTCTGAACTATAACCGCTATTCAAAGCAATATCTCTTAAGACGACTCTTGCAAAATCATGTCTTCGATTATTTTCAGTAATGAGAATAACGCACAAACGTTTTCTGGAACGGCTCCATTCAGTCGGGCACACACCTAGAAGAAAGAAAACAAAATTAAATGTTTTGTAGATATTTTAAAATTTTGTGCGTTGTATGTCAGTATTTAATTACCGAAATTTTTTTTTGAATTTAAAAATATTAAAACTAAAAAGATTTCTTACTTCGGCAAGCCGAAGTTGTATACCAATGCCGTTTAAAGAACAATGTCCCGTATGTGCTTGGGTTGGGTTTTTCTTGTGGCAAAATTGAACGTATCTCGTCGTCACTTTTCGAAATTCGATGTTCGCGCTCGCAACTTCGATTTTTCTCGAACTCAAAACTGCATGATCATCAGTATTTATCACTTGCAGTCGCGTCTTTCCCTCCAGTGTAGGGGTATTCCGCGACGGAGCGTCTTCTACCACCTCCAAATTAAGTGCGCGAGCCGAGGTAATTAGTGCGGCTTTACGGGTCTTTATTCGCGATGCATTTTAAGCGTACTGGGATCTTCTTCGTCTAAATTCTTCAGATGTTGGTTCTTCTTTGGGACGTTGCGTCATACGGTGAGTCAATGAAGCTGACGGGTTGATGTTGGATCACGGTGTTGGGTTAAGACTTTGGCTGTTGTCGGATGTAATGCAGTTGGACCTAACGTGGTTGGGCTACGCAATGTTAGTTGCTAACACTTTCCCCCATTGGGGAATTACCCTCAATAAAAGCGTGTCTCGGTTATACTCCGTATCTAGTGGCAACATGCATCTTCTTTCATTCACCGATATCGATGTGCATTTTGTTGATCCATTGGTATCCTACTATGTTCATAACAAAACTAACCATATCTTGTTTTATTTATGTGTTATATATATTTTTTATTGCGACAACTCTGAATGACTCAAGTGATCCTTGTTGTCCAGCCCTTGCCGTGACCGTTTTTGTGCTCTCTCTCACTTCTTTCCGAAAAGTATTGTCTTATTCTTTCTTAGACGTAAGCCACAGTCGTGACTATTGCTGCCATTGCATTACTGCTGCAAACGTTAAGGTGCTGACGTTCACATAATTGTGGAACTAGTGCCAAGTGATCGTTCAGTCTGCATCTTTTGAAGATCGGCTTTTTATACCCGTTACTCGTAGAGTAAAAGGGTATACTAGATTCGTCGGAAAGTATGTAACAGGCAGAAGGAAGCGTTTCCGACCCCATAAAGAATATATATTCTTGATCAAGATCACTAGCCGAGTCGATCTAGCCATGTCCGTCTGTCCGGCTGTCCGTCTGTCTGTCCGTCCGGATAAACGCTGAGATCTCGGAAACTAAAAGAGCTAGGCCATTGAGATTTGACGTGCAGATTCCTGAGCTTCTTACGCAGCGCACGTTAGTTTCAGCAATGTGCCACGCCCACTCTTACGCCCACAAACCGCCCAAAACTGTGGCTCCTACAGTTTTGATGCTAGAATAAAAATTTTAACTGAAATGTATTGTTCTTATCAATACCTATCGATTGACCCAAAAAAAAAGTTTGCCACGCCCACAAACCGCCCAAACCTGTGACGCCCACAGTTTTCATGCTAGATAAAAAATTTTAACTGAAATGTATTGGTCTCGTCAATACCTATCGATTGATCCAAAAAAAAATTTGCAACGCCCACTCTAACGCCCATAACGCTTAAATCTGTCTACCGCCGGTAAGTGGCGTATTTTAATATCGCTTTTCTGCTTGCATATCTCCATTTCCCTTTGGTATCTGTAGTTGAGTAACGGGTATGTGAAAATCGAGGTACTCGACTATAGCGTTCTTCCTTGTTATTTCTAGTTTTGTTAAATGAACATATGGAATGAAGGAAAATTGCTGGCCTCAGGTCCCTCATTGTTGACTGGATTCGCGGGTGCCCTTGCAATGTGATTGTTGAACTGTATGCAACGCAGTACTCATTCAGCGTTAGCCTTCCGATGTCTACTATTTAAACTTGATAGCGCTCTTGCCCACAGACATACTACTGTGGGCCAAACTTGATTTTAAAATTAAGAAAATTGTATTTATTCTTCTAAACCAATTTCATACCCTTTATAATAGTCCACGCTTCCTACGATTTAGCTTTTATCTCCTTGCAAAAAGTCGTAGCATTGAGGTGTGTGAAACAATGCTTTCTAACTATCAGGAAAAAGCTCAACTGCATAATTACGAGGTATGAATCTTGGATGTATGCTTACGACCCTGAAACAACCGACCAATCAAGCGTATTTCGTGCTAAAGGCGGGACCAGACCGAAAAGAGCACGTCAAAGTCGTTCATAAATCAAGGTCATTTTCGATTTTCATTGTGTGGTGCGCTACGAATTCCTTCCACCCGGCCAAACTTTTAATAAGATTTATAATTATGTATATAACAATTATTATATATAATTCGTCTAAAAAGACCGGATTTACGGGTCAACAACTCTTGGTTTTTGCGTCCGCTTTAGTATTATTTAGTATTACCGCTACCGCCCGCTAGGTGCCGTGTCACTGGCATCGGTGGTGTGCGCCGCCCTTAACTTAAATTTATTTGAAACAGAGTAACAGGTATCTGATGGTCGAGGCACTTGACTATAGCGTTTCTCCTTGTTTTCATATTATTTGCTCATTTTTTTTTTAAATGTTATAGAAAATCTTATTTGTGGTGTATCCTAACGCCTGTCGAATGTCTTTGTTTTCGAATCATGTTTGCATGCACTTTGTAAGGAAGCCGAACCTCATTGTTCCTTCTATGTTGGACAACGTTGAAAACCTGCATCCGCTCAAAAAGGGAGAACACGGCCCTTAAAACTCCCCCAGGGCGAAGACTCCTATCCGAATTTGTTGTTTTGCAGGACCTGGATGCGTAATAAAGGTAAACATGCTATTAATAGCCCTGTCCCGAGGCCTGACTTATGACCCGTCCGAAAATACAGAGTCTCTGATTCAAAAGACAGTATATTAACGAAGTTAACGAAGTTTGTTGTTTTTGTGCGTTTTCATGTTGAAATTTGATATTTATACCCGTTACTCGTAGAGTAAAAGGGTATACTAGATTCGTCGGAAAGTATGTAACAGGCAGAAGGAAGCGTTTCCGACCCCATAAAGTATATATATTCTTGATCAGGATCACTAGCCGAGTCGATCTAGCCATGTCCGTCTGTCCGTCTGTCCGTCTGTCCGTCTGTCTGTCCGGATGAACGCTGAGATCTCGGAAACTATGAGAGCTAGGCTATTGAGATTTGGCGTACAGATTCCTGAGCTTCTTACGCAGCGCAAGTTTGTTTCAGTAGACTGCCACGCCCACTCTAACGCCCACAAACCGCCCAAAACTGTAACTCCTACAGTTTTGATGCTAGATAGAAAATTTTAATTGAAATGTATTGTTCTCATCAAGACCTATCGATTGACCTAAAAAAAGTTTGCCACGCCCACTTAAACGCCCACAAACCGCGAAAACCTGTGACGCCCACAATTTGCATGCTAGATAAAAAATTTTAACTGAAATGTATTGGTGTCGTCAATACCTATCGATTGATCCAAAAATAAATTTTCCACGCCCACTCTAACGCCCTTAACGCTTAAATCTGTCTACCGCCGGTAGGTGGCGCATTTTAATCTCGCTTTGCTGCTTGCATATCTCCATTTCCCTTTGAGTAACGGGTATCTGATAGTCGAGGTACTCGACTATAGCGTTCTTCCTTGTTTTATTATGCAATCGGAAAGATAATAATTTAATACACAATATTTAGAAAGAAAAAATGGCAAAAATCAATTTTTGCTTTTAAATTTCCACCCTAAATAGGAATTTCTATAACATTTGCAAGGAATTACTTAACAAACTGTTGATCATATACGACCATTTTTTTCGAAATCGTGACAAAGAACGTACTTCAGAGTTTACGAGAATATGATCAAAAACAACGAAGCTACAATTTGTATACCATTGCAGAAAGTGTAATGATATCAGTCAGAAGTTTGCAACGCAATAAAGGAGACGTGTCCGACCCTATACAGGATATATATATATGTACATATATATAGTGACATATCTAAAGTACCATATACTCCTATGTACATGTCCACACACCTACACATACATACTCACATTACGCAGTCACCCTCGAGACACCCTCTAAGAAATAAGAACCCAAATTTAATTGTCAACAAGCCAATAGAAAATTACCGAACTATAAGCAAGCCAGAGGAAAATTACAATGAATGAAAAACCACAGTTTATAGACTAAACAGTTAGAACGAACCGCTGTTCAGACTATCGGCACATTCCCACAATTCAGGATACTCAGATTTCGGGACCCAAGTCTGAAGTCCAAAGTCCGAACTCAGAAAGTCACTCAATAGCAATAAGTCCCACTCACAAAAAGCTCTAAAGCTAAAAACCGAGGTAAGATCGTAAAAGAAGTAGGAATTAGACAGCGAGTTCAGTTTGAGATTTGTTAAGAGCAAGTCGGTGTTCTTCCAACCCAAAATATTGTAACCAGTGCAAGAGTAAATTAAATGAAGTTTTTTTTTCATAATACACTTATGGTGCAGACATTTAATTGGCGCAGTCGGTAGGATCTCAAAAGTACTTTAAAAAGTCATCGGTACTGATCAACTAGAAGGATAATACTAAACGACTAGTTTATCCTGATCAGCGAAAAAATCCGTGAACAAACAAAAGACAATCATTGAGATCCGCTTAAGAATCTATGTGTAAATTTCACACGCAGAACTTACAACAAAAACATATATTCGGTCAATGTGCGCTTAAAAATCTAAAATAAAAGTGCCAATATTGAGAAACAAAAAGTCTATGTGTAAGTTCCACAAACAGAGACAAAACTAAAATCCAAATCGGTCAATAAGTGCAAATGTTGAAAAAAGAACAATAAAAATGGCAAACCCTTCAGCATTACCACAGTTGTCCGAGATTCATTTGAATCAGTTAATCGGTGAAATCAAGGAGTTGCCGTATTTCGATGGAAACCCATCGGAATTAAGTCGGAACATAGCCAGGGTGGAGTACCTTCTACAATTATACCATACTCAAGACGTTCGAAAAA